AACTCGATTCTCCGTGGTACAGCTAAATATTTTGATGACTGCGATGCATGGTAATAGCAGTCAGCAAAGGTGACGATCATAAATCAGAGCTCGAAACAGCAGCAGCAGCACGCTTCTTCAGGTTCAGCTAGGCACTCTAACTGCCTACGCCTCATCCTTGTCAGACTTCCTATGAAAAACTGAAGTGTGGAACAAATTAATGGGCTATTGATGTTCATGCCAATGTGAAGCAGCCTTATCTACATTAGATGCTTCGAAGATTCCAAGCTTGTTTTATTTCTCTGACAAATAGCAAAATGAGGTTTTTTACGTGAATAATTATTACACTTCAATTTCTAAATGCTTCGAAAATGAAAAGTCGCAGAACTTTTAGGAATTAAAAATCAAGTTAAAGTGAAATAACGGAAGGTAACGAATGAAATGATGAGGTAGCGGCAGATGATAAACAATGTAGTTCTGATTTAATTTTATTGTATTTTCTCGCGCCTAAACCTCATGAAATTAACGAGCTTCAAGATCGCCAGCAACAGGCTGACTGCTAGGCAATGCAGCACCGGTCAAAGTAGCCAGAAAAAGTTGCCAGTTGCGACGCTGGAGAACTGCAATATGTAAATAAACATCTGTTCTAAGTGCCATATGAAGAGCCCTACTGTCTTTTCTATCATAACTTTAAACTAACCCCATCCTGAGTTAAAATTTTCGGACTGTGATCATCTCACATTTTTCATGATTCGGATCGTCCACCTGTTCGGCCTACCAACAGCCGCAAATTATTTTAACAAACTTATCCCATCCTTCGTTTTGACTTTCTAATTCCGGCCGTTCCACATTTTTATTTCTTTGGACCGTTCACTTGTTTTAAGATTACGGCCTTCTAACGGCCGTAATTTATTATTCCATGTAAAGCGTATCTAACACAACAGGTGGTCAACAGGTGGCTTTCATCTTATTTTTTTTAACAAGTTCCCGCAAAGCGGAACATTGACAGCCATGTCAGCCAGTAACTGTTGTTGGCAACGTGCTTTTATTTACCTCTATTGGACAGCCTTTGCTTATCATATAAAATATTATCATTTGCTTCAATTTTGAATATCTTCGTCTATCATATAGCGTTTTGAGATAAAAATTAGAAAAAAAAACCAACATAAATCCAAAATTTCAGAGGAGAAAAATGGTAAGACGATCCCTCACCGAGTTGTCATAGTGAGTGACAAGCATTGTAACCCCAACAAAAAAGAAGGCAATAAATCTCTTAAGCAGGAGCTGTAAATTTTTAACCACTGCTATTTCTACCTCATTCATGATTATTTCTCGCGACAGTGTACCCAAGAAAATCTTGACAAGGATCGCTAAAAATCAAACAGCATCTTTAAAAAAAATTAGAAGCGCGGCCCGTGCTCCATCCTTACACTCGTTTCCCGTCTCTGCGCGGCACTTCCTTGTCCTGAGTACCTACTTCCGGAAACATGCTTCTGATGATGGTAGACAAATGTAAAATTTTCGAGTGTACGCCGCAAATGCTAAAAATACATTTTTTTTTCCTCTTAAATAGCATTTCTCTGCCTCCGTCTTCTTCGTCTTTTCCCCTCCTCCCTTCCTCCTTCTCCCTCCCCCGTCCCCCCCCCTCTCAATTTCTTCCTTCCAAAAAAGCAAGCTGATGCCAAAATTTCGAGATTTCATGAGGTCCCGTTGCTCGTTTATTTATTTATTTGATACCTAAAACAGCTATTATTTCAACACTGTGTTTCATCAGTGGCCCAGCTGACAATCATGCCATTTTCTTTCTTTATTTCATGGTTGTTTCGGGCCAGCGCTGTATCACTTGCTGATCAGTGCTCTACTAATTCTGACGTTCTTTTCTGTTGCCTAAAGAAATTACCGCTGCTCAATGGCTCTCTCGATAGAAGCTCTCCGACAAGGCTTCAGCCACTCAACAGTATGTGTTGTGAGCGTCATCACTCGAAGAGATGTGTTATTCACACAAAATTTGCCATGAAAAACCTCTTTCTAGCAGCTATTAAAACTATTTCTATCTCACTATTCATCATTGCCTCTTCTAAGGCAGAAGTACTACGTCATGTTACATTCATAGATCCTATGAAAAAAAAGGAAGAAAGCCCACTAGCCATTGGATGCAAGCTCTCCAAAAGCCGATAAACCCAGCTCACAGTTTTGCTGCTTCTCTGCGGCATGGCGAAGAGAATCATGACATTTTCAACAATTACTAGGATAGAACGGATGTAAGATAAACATCCACTACTTACTATTATCATAATTGTAACCATAGTTATTAAAAATGTCTGCTCATGATTATGAAGTTGCAATTCTCGTAGTTGCTGTTACGGATTTTTTATTGGAATCACGGTTACTAACATCGGCATATTCATGCCATGATTGTTACTGCACAGAATCAGATTTCCACCGTCGGTATATTCACACAATAAATAATAATAATCATAATAATAATGACCATTATGATCACAAGAGAAACATATTACTTGATGATATGGATGATTACTGTATCAATAATGATAAATATAAACCATAAATTAATACATTTATCATCAATGAAACTACTGCAACTAATATGTCGCCACTGTTATCATCGAAATTGGGTGACTGTTGTTATTAGCATTAAAATTTATTCTTATTATGATTACTATCATTATCATTAATATTACTTTATTATTATTCAGTTTATTCCAATTACACCAATATCATATTACTTCCACTAACGATGATCAATCAACTAACCTTATAGCCAGATCCTGCGCACGAGATTCCCAATGCAATAGCAGCGCCATATCGTACATGCGGATTGAAATGTTCCACCAACATACCCGTATAGCTGAGGCATTGTTCCGCATCACTATAAACAATAGTTACTTTAAACTGGACAATTTCGAAACAAAAAATTTTATCCGAAAAAATTCTATTTCTAAAAATTTCAGGATTTCTCAAATTCCCCAGAATTTCTTTAAAATTTACTAAGTCTTTGCATTTGGAATGAAATACAGACAGAAAGGAAATAAATTCACCCTCACTTTTAGATGTGTGTAATTGTTTTTCATAAATATCCATCTCCGTTCAGTTAAGTTTCAGCATCATATCAACGTTTAAGATACCCTGCACTGTCATGTATAAAAAAACTATTTATATGCATGTTATCAGATAGGTTACTTATCCCTGTCATCCTTCATATC